TACCATTTTAATAATTTATTTAGGATTGATTTGCACTTTTTTTTAAATTAGGAGTATGATTGTAATTTTTTTTTTTTTTTTTCTCTCTCCTTTTCTTTTTGTTATATTTAAATAGAAAGGCATATTCGTCATTTCTAATCTTTTTATTATGAAAATAAATGTCATAATCCTTTTTTACAAATTTCAATATTTGAAGGGGTTTCGCACACCATGACTAATAGGTGAGGGGGGTTTTGTCCTTCTAATTTTTCCATTTTCCCCCTTTTTATTTGAATTTAACGATGGGATAGACAAAGGTTGACTGTAGCAGTATTCTGCACAAAATGTTTCAAATGTGGACGTTTTGTGCTATTTTCAAAAGGTATAAAGCTTTCGACAATTTGGGTAATAGATAAGGGGGTATTGTGCTATAAAGCCAAAATTTAAAAATAAGCAAATATTATTGTTGGTATAATATTTAAAATTTGCACGAATTTGATGCTGAGATTGGAGATGACCTTAGGCTCAAGTTTTTTTTTTATTCTAGCCAGTTGCATGTACAATTTATCTTATAGAATGACCAGATCTTGGATGTTTTTGGAACACATTTTATGAAAAACCAATTTGTGGATTTCATGGCGGCTAATTAATATAAAATAAAGCATTAGATAATGATTTGCAAAACAAAAAATCTATATAGCCGAGGTTCCAGACGAATCAAAATGAAAAAGAGTTCAGCATCTTACGATCCGGGAAGGCATTAATATTTTAGTGTAGAGAGTTCTTCCCCTCCGCTGGGACCTTTGCATATTTTCATCAACAAAAAATATCAAAAAACAATTAAATAAATAAATTAACTTTTCTTTTCTTTGATAAATATGAAATTAATAAAAAAAATGTCGAAATTTTGGAGAACCTAACCGGAAAAAACCACCCGATTCTGCAATCAAACTTCCAAAAATTGATATTCAAAGGTAAACTTGGCAGAATCGGCATCAATTTATTCGCCTTCCGTCCATAGGTCCTTCGATTATTTATCGCCGAAGTTATGAATCATAACATTTTGAGTGTGTGTTATATGGAGAGAATACTCAGTGAATACGAACCATAGAATGGAATTCATGTTGCGGTACAAATACCGCAATCGTAATGTACAAGTCTTCATTGCAGATCTTTTCCACTCTATCTGCTGAAATATATTATATTGCAAATTATGTGCATTGTGCCATCGTCTCCCCAACCTTAAATTTCATTTCAACGACATCTTGGGAAGGGCTTTTGTTTTGGTTACAAGAAATGCTTCTTTGCTCACTTGCAGCATCTCAATAATTTTAAGAAGATACATTTTGGGATATATCATTCTTCACCGTGCACAAGAGCTTTGGTTGCCAGCTCCCCTAACATAAGGTCATCAGCTTCCTCAACATTCCGACACTAGACAAGCATTAATCTTCGTACACGATTGTACTACTTTCGAATATGTACTTAGTTGCTCGGACTTGGTCGCAGCTTTGTGAGGCCACGCTTCTCCCACAAAAGGAATTTAATTTTCAATTTACATGTTGCATCTTGCAAGACCATCTGTTGAAGCCATAAAGGACGAGTTTACCTTTTTCCATGTACTTCGCCCTTATCTTCAGAAAGTAATTGTGCTTCCAGGCCTCAGTCCAAGCTCAATGTGAGCTCAAAGTAACAGTTGAGAGAAATGTACTAGCCTCACATAGCCTCATACCGATATAGTTGATTCTCACACCAAATGTGCAATCAAAACATACTTGACGCTTAACAAACTGAACTTGTTTTCATAACAATCTCATCTCGTCCGATACTGCATACACACACTTCGCATATGCTTAAAAATTGGTACAACTCTGTATCTCATTGGAAAAAAGGATGGCACATTCAAGATATTCAATGCAGTGATTCACCAGACATGATAAGGTTTAATCAACACGTTGCATCAACAAAACCAAAAAAATTACTACATTATCGACTTATAAGACGTCAAACAAACCAGCAGCAAATGATTCAATAGAAGAATCCATATACATACTGCCTAAGGACCAGCAAAAACCAAAAGCGCCCACACCTAAACTTACATTCCCGATGTCCTCAAAAGCTCCTTCTAGTAAAGCATATTACATCACTGTATAAAAAGCTAAGGACTGAATCCACCACATTTCACATAGGAAACTGAGTACAGGAGAACACAAGATCAAGAGAGGGTGCCGTTAAATATTTGAAAACTAAAACCAAATCTCGTCATACCCACAGCTTTAAGCCCTCTTTTTGTCTTTCAATGGTCCTCGGGGAATTTTGCTAAGAACTTTTGCATCTAAAATTGCATACTGCTTCTTAATCTCAATCATTGCTTTCTCTGCAAATGCATCGATTTTGTCATCATACTTCTCATACAGAACAGGTAGTGTATGCAGCAGAACAAACACTGTCCATGGATATCAAATTCATTATGTCAGCATTAAGCGTTACCCGGGGGAAGGGGAAAAAACAAAAAAAAATAGACTACGAGTTCAAAGACAAGAAATTCCTTACATATATAGAACAAAGTCAAGAAGTTGCACCAGCTGCCCACAATTGATAGAACCCACAAGCCAGCCACAACCTAATAAACAAAATTGAATTTCTTCATTATCGATATATCATATCAACTAGTAATAGAAGCGAAGTAGAAATAGAGGTGGCAAAATGCTTATCCATCCACGACAAGAAAAGAACTGAAATAAGCAGAACAATTTGGCTCTATGATAATGGTTTTATGAAATTAAGAAACAAGAAACGGTTAAAACTTACCCATCACAAATTGTCACTAGAATTACAAGGAACTTGGAGTAACAAATATAAAGGACAAAATTATTTAGTGCCTAGATTGGGGCAAGAGCAAGTCAAAACATTGAATTGGATGAAGCAAC